CCGCCCCTGCATTGCGGCGGGACCCGCGCCCGCTACCTGGCCCCCGCGCTCCGCTGCTGCCGCCGCCGCCGCGGGAGGGCAGCCCCGCAGCCGCCCGCTCCTGCAGCGGCGGCCCCCCGGCCCGCGCCTGTTCTTGGGGAAAGAGAAGCGCGCGGCGCCGCCGGACACGGCTTTGTGCCACCTCGGGCGCCGCGCGGCCCCCCGGCTCTGCCCTCGGAGCTGGAGCTGCGGCAACAAAACCGTTCCCTTCTCCAGTCCCTCACCGGCTTCCTGAAATAAACGTTGCCCTCGGATGGCAGCTGATGGCTGCGCACTGCGCTGGTGGGAGCGAAGCGCGATAAGGGCAAGTCGAGCCCCCATGCAGTTCCAGGGACATGGAGGAGCTGCAGCGTGTGCTCGGCTCAGCCTCTCCCGGCACAGTCGCCCTCTTCCCCCTCGCCAAGGAGGAGCGAAAAACACAGCTCTATTAGCTAAACCTAAATTGGTCCTAAACCGATTAATGAGTTTGTTATTAATGAGCAAAAGCAGCAAGTTTATCATTATCCCAACCAGCAATTCTGAGCATGCCATATGCATGCTAACCTATGAAATATTTTTGAAACAGATGCTAATGCTTTGATCTATTAAATAAGTATTCCTGTTTTTTATTTGGGTGCCCAGAATGTCAGTTTTAACCTTTACTGCAGAGCAAAACCTTTAAATTTGAAATCTAGCCTTGTCACATTCCACTGCATCACCCTACCTGTATTTTTTTTAAGCTCACCAATTTTAGGTACCTAATACTAATTTCAAGCATGGTTTTAAAAGTGGTAAGCGCTCTTTCTTCATTATACATTAACAGGCAATCTAGAATATTGCGTATCTCTCAGGCCTCAACTCTCTTGGACTAGGTAGTCAAAATAGAGGCTGATGAAAGCACAGGCCCAACCTCTGCTGTTTCTTGAGCTGCAGTATAGAGACTGCAAGGCTGCCACAACTGCTACCTTAGATTACATTTACAAGGCTCAACCAGCGATGCCAATAAAGCGACTTGAGCATGACAACTTTATGCATTCATATGGGTTTGTAACGGCTTGTTCTCCTTTAAAAAAATCTGAGTCTTTGAATATTCAATATTCTCTCTCCCTTGGCCTTCTCAAGCTGTTTCAGGAAACCTTGCTACAACTGCCATTTTCCTGTTCTAGCATTTCATCTATAAATCAATGTGGTGCAAAGGGAGAAGGTAGCAAGCCAAGTGGACAACCCATCACATTTCTCTGTGCTTACTCACCCTTGGAGTTGTATATCCATGTAGCAGAGATGCCTCCAGTGGCAAGCGCTTGCTGCAGTCATTTTCTCTTCCCAGCTGCAAGAGGACACCCGCTCAGTAAGGAAGGTGCACGAACAAACCCAGCACTCCAGAAACAGTGCTTGTCCCTGCTCTATTCCTCCAGGCCTCCCCTTTGAGACTTACCTGACCATGCAAGGACCACGATGGAGCTCTCCTCCCCAACAGAAAGGCTTTGCTCCTTCATTCATCAGCTGGATAACAGCAATGCAGTCTGAATAAATAAATAACTAAAAAGCAAATCAGAAGGAGCCTCGAGGGGTGAGGGGGAATAGCAGTCAATTTGATCAAGGAGGAACTCATTCAAATTGAAGTTTGCCTTAAGCTTACAAGAGAAAAAGGACAGCTTATGCTTTGGCGGGAAACAAATAATGTGACAGGTATCATGGAAGAGATGTCTCTATCTCCATGTGCAACTGAGTATATATTGGCCACCACCAATCCTAGAGATCAGAGAGGTAATAGAAGGGTCCATACTTCACATGCATTAGTCATGGGGAAGCTGGAGCATGGAGCTGAGATGTGGTACTACAGCAGCCCCTGTTTTCAGCAGCAGCCTGCAGAGATGCACAGAGAGGTGAATACTGCAAGTTAGTCATTCAGTTGCAGCTCTACCTTGACCAATCACAGACACTAAGAAATAAACACATAAAAACCAATGTGGCATTCACCATATTCCCCGAGATAATTAGGTAGTCAAGTTACATTATATCCTACATTAAATATTCAGAAAGGATGTTGATACTAGACATTAAGGCAGGAAATAGCCTTAAAATTTACATTAGAAATATAAGATAAATGCATGCTTTTTTTCCAAGAAATATTCATGCAAAGATCAAAAAGCCTCATCCTACTAAGAGATAGTGGGGAAAGATTTTATAAAGGAAAAAGATTTTTACATAACCTCACAAATAATGGGCTTTAACATAAAGCCTTGACACAATGAATTATGAATGTCTTTATGAAGGTCTGGTAAGTCAGTACAGAGGAATTTTGCCTGCCTGCTAACTGGAGAAAGAATGACATTCTCTATTGCCCTTTCTGAAAGGGATGCACTTCAAACAGTGGCTGGGAAATGCTATTCTGAAAACATACCATGTCAATATATATTCTTCTCTCACTATATGGATACAACAAACCACTGCTGCTCCTCTGACAATTTTTCTAGATACAAGCGTTGGCAACTTAGCTCCACCTCAGAATATAAATGGAAATATTTAATTTCTCAAAACCACAATATGACTCGAGTCCTGGCACCACTGTCACAACATTATCTAAATAAACAGAGTCAAGTCAAAAGCAGCTCTTATTTATTCATAAGCATAAGGGCTATATGTAAGTGAGAACCATAAAGCAATGGAAAATATGTTTATGGCATTTTTAAGCACTTTCCCCAATCTCTAAGGATGTGCACCAACTGGTTGAACGGTTCTTGCCACCTTCCCCCTCGGAAACATCTAAGCTAAGGTGACTGCAAAAGGCAGTATAGCAGAGATGTTTTTCACAGCGAGAAGACCCTAGAGTCCCTCTAGTGCTCAACTGAGGCAAAGATGGAAAATGTGGGCTGAATAGTTCCTTAAAATGATCAACTGATAAGCAAAAAAAAATTCCATTGAATTTGTCATCAACTCAGCATGAGACTATGTTCTATTTGTAAAGTAACTCACTTCTCTCCCATTAGCTAATCTATTAAAATATCCTTATAAGGCCCTTCCTTTCTTCTGTCTCTCTCTTATTTGATAACATTTATTTCTAAAAACTTACTTAGATATAATATCTGTTTAAGTTTATGGTTCATAATACTGTGATCAAGGCTTAAGCATGAAGTTAAAAGCGGTCTCTAACAGCAGCATGAGGGGGTTTTGTTTCTCTCTGCTGCTAAATCCAGCCATAGCAGAAGGCCTTTCACTAGACAAACTTTGCTTTGGGAGACCTTTGCCTTGTTCTTTGTGTCCAAGGGAATATAGGTATCCATGTGAATTATGAAGACAAACTAAGCTTTGGTAAGTCAGACCGATTTACCAAAACTTTATAGGTCAATAGACAGTCTTGCATTAGAATCAGAATCACATGAGTAAAGAGAAGGTACAAAACCCCCTGGTGCTCTATACTGCTGGCCACAGCAGGAGGCAAGGTGCTCTTCTGCACAAATTGCCTTCTATGACATTTCTTCCATCAGCCCAGATTAACCAAGTTAGTCGCCCACTTCAGCCTCTACCCAAGCAGACCAGCCCTGAATTGTCCTCTATGGCAAAAATCACAGTCTTTGTTAAATTGAAAGCAGAAGTTTCTCACTACAGCGATACAAAGTAAAGGATCTCCAGACACCAGGCCAACATGAAAAATGGGCAGCAGAGTTTACAGATTAAGCTGGTTACGTTCAGAGCTTCCTCACTTCTCCCTTATCTCAGTTGCCTACTTTTTCTTTCAGCTCTCAAATCTTTGCACCATCTTAGTGATGGGGCCAATTGCCTTTGCTGATGAGGAATGAAAGCTGGATGTCAAACTCATCTTTAGGGACATCTCACAAGAGGTTTTGTGAACATACTCAAAAGGAAGCAAGAGGAATACTGATCCCTGCAGAATTCAGCTGTCAATTCTTAACCTAAATTTTTCACTACTTCATTTTCTAGGTAGGAGGGAACACTTGCCCTATTAAATTCTCATCTCTCCAAAAAGAAATAAAAACTCTCTAGGATTTTTTTTTTTTAAGCTCATGATTCAACAGGGAATAGTGATTGCTAGGAAGTAATAAATGTAAGCTTGTGAGCTTCTCTCTCTCTTGATTTCTATCTCTTCCCTAGTATAAGTAGGAAAGAATATATTGCACCATTCAGTCTTTCTAGGTTTTCTAATGAAATTTTAGGAAAAAACATTAAATATCTACCTACAGGACGGAAGAGAAGATGAAGAGAATATGTAAAACCTCTTAATACATTGCACATGTGGCTGAGTTGTATGAAAACAGTGTTCTTCCAACAAGTATGACTACTCAGTAGCAAGAGTAGACTACTTTGAGACTTCCCTGGTTTAAGGGAAAACCCAGAATTTTCCAGCCATATCTCCTGAGGAATAAAGAGCTCAGAAGGAATTTATATCTATACTTGCAGGCTTGCACAGGGAAGCTCTTCAGTTCTTTGATGTACTGATAACTTGTTTTATTAATGTGGAATTCCGATAAGACTCAACTTTTTAATATGCTCCTACTAGGTTCACTTATGTAAATGTAACTTCATTTTCGAAGCCTAAAGCCTAAATTACCATCTGAAAACAGATCAGACTAATCAAGTTAGCATCACAATATAGGGCAAAGCAGTTCATCTAGGTTCTGGGCTTTTCTTTCTTTCCCCTTTTTAACAATAAAATAATTGTTTCTAATAAGAAAGACGACATCTGCAAACACAACATGGGGCTTTTCTTTGCCCCCCCCCCCCTTTTTTTTTGCGCTATACACAAGGGCTATAAACATGCTCAGTTTATGGCTTTAGTCAGTTTTGGGGAAGACAAAGTACGTACCTTCAAACCAAGGCTGAAGCTGATACAGGACTCGAGATCTCACACTGGTTGAACT